AGAGCCGGCCCAGCCTGTTCAGGAAGGGCTACAGAGCGCCAGGCACCGGAGCTGGTGGTGGGCGGGGTTTCCCCCTCTAATTCCCTCCAGGACACGGCCTGCGGGGACCTTCCACAGGAGCGGCTTATGGAGAATGTTCCCCAGGAAGCATGTGGATTCTGGGGCGCGGGGATGAGTTCTAAATGCATTGGGGGTGGGTGGAGGACACCGCGGCTCAGGGACCAGGGGGTCTGCCAACTCTAAGCAGAACAGGGCCCGCCAACACCACCCACTGACCCTGTCCTCACACACGCCAGGCTCTGGGTGACTGGACGGCTCCATCCATCCCGGATAGGGGGATGGGGCAGGGTTGGGTCCTGGGCACGGAGGAACCAGCGGGGCACCCAGGACACCCTTGCAACGGCTGCCCGCAGGGGGTTCCCCGTAGCCAACCGAGACACTCCCCAGACCCTCCAAGCCATCCCTTGCAGGCACGTCACCTGGGAACGGAGCACGACTAGCCAAAGCCACGCGGCCACTGGTCAGGGTTTCCCGTGTGAGCTCACAGCACGGCACCCTCTGGGCTTCATGTGGGTAAAGGAGGAAGATGAGCTCCCTCTAGTGGGCAGTGTGGATGGGGTGGGGGCTGCCCGGGACTCATGCCCCTCCCCCCATGCCCACTCCTGGGCTCCTGGCCACCCCTCGGGAGGCTGGTCCCCCTGAGAGTACAGGGTAGGGGGATGCAGAGGCTCTTAGTCCACTCTGGGGCTGAGGCTGGCCCGGGCGGGGCTCCCAATGAACTCGATCAGCCGGTGCCCCCCCTAAGTCACCCACCCAGCACTGGCGAACCCGCCCTGTGCCCACCGTTAGCTCCAGTCTCCAGCTTCCCTCCAGCGGGAGCTCTGGCCTTCGAGCGCCCCAGGTGGAGACCAGACCGTGGGGATTCATCCTCCTCCCAGGGGAATCTGTGCGGCTTCACAGAAATCCCCTTCCTGGGGGTTTCCCGGGAAGGCCCAGGACTCGAGGGCTGGGGCAGATTCAGCCCTGCCCAGAGCCCCAGATGTCCCCCAGCCTCCATTCCAGAGGGATATACTGAGAAGAGGCAGCAAGACCTGAGAACCCCCAAGGAACACCCAGGGTCCCAACCCAGTGGGCTGTCCAGGGGCCCAACCCAGAGAACTGTCCAGGGCCAACCCAGAGGACTGTCCAGGGCGCTATCCAGGAATACCACCCTAGGGAACTGTCCAGGGGGCCATTCAGGGGGCTGTCTGGGGGTCCCACCCAGGGTGTGTCTGGGGGGTCCCAGCACCCACAGTCACGTCCTATCAGACACTCCCCTGACCTTTTAGTGACTGGCTCACTCCCGCAGCGGCCACCGTGGTGTCATATGCTCCAGGAGTCCAGCTGCAGCGTGAGCAGCAGGGAAGGGGACAGAGAGGCTCCAGCTGCCCAGCCCAAGCCTGCGGGTGCCCAGGAAGGTGCCCGCGGCTTTCAGGCGAGTCGGTCGCTGAGCTCCAGAGGCCGGCAGGGTCACCTGGGGGTCTAGAGTGGTGCCCCTCACACAGCCACTCCTACTGCTCACCGCGGTTTGGTTTTGTGGCCCTTGGGGGCCTCAGACGATGGTGCCGGGGTGAGTGGGGGAAGTGAAGTCAGCAGGACAAGGAAGGGAGGTCGGGGCAGGGGGAGGACAGAGGCTGGCACATCCGGGGACACATGTGAAGCTCAGGCTGGACCTGGCCGTGCCCTGCACCCACCCCCGGCCCTGCTGGACAAGGCGCGGAGCTGCATGGGGTTCCCAGCAAACACTCCCCTCAACACGCTGCCTCTGGGGAGGTTTGATCTTGTTTAAGATTTCCCTTCCCCGCGCTCTTGTTCAAAGCAAAGGGATCAAACACAAAAGCCTTCTCAAAGGGTGCTGATGGAACTGACGCAGGGATTCAGGGAGGGGGGCTCTGTCTACCTTCAGACCAGGTGACCCCAATGCTCCTGACACACTCCTTTCTGGGTGTTTGACTTTAGGTCAGAAAAACGTGGGGGCTCTATCTGTTACTAATCAAGGTGGTCCTGCCTGTTTGCTCTGCCCGAAGAAGCACAAAGGAGACCCCGCCTGTCCCCTCCTCTCATCCTTGGGGTGCAGCTGAGTCCAACCAGCCTAAGCAGGAGACCCCACGGTGGAAGGCAGGGACCCCAAATGGCCGAGCTCCAGACGGGCACCCAGACTTATCTCTTTTCCGCCCCGGTTCCTGTGAGTGGGGGCAAGGGAGTAAGAGACAGAGCAAGCAGGACAGGGCGGCGCCTCCCCATCCTAGGGGACCTCTTGGCGAGCAGAGCTGCTACCCCAGGGAAAGACAGGGTGCTGGCCATGTACGGGGTGGGCCCCACCTCTTGGCCAGATAGGGGATTCCCCCCATCCCGTGGCTGAGCCTCAGTTCTGGGCAGGGAGAGCAGGCAGTTGGCACCATGATCAGGAACCCCCATTCTTTGGGTGGGTTTTTCAGGTTTTCTCAGATGTTTCCTGCCTGGACTCACCCCACTGCCCCAAGGGGGTGGCAGGGCGGAACGGAAGCCAATAGAAGCAGCAAGCTGAGGCAACCACCCCGGACAATGCCTTGACTCTGCAGTTCCACATGAGGGTCCCATGACCCAACAGGTGGGCGGGTCAAGGCTGCAAGGGGCCAGAAACGCACATTCCTAACAGGGGTGCAGCTGAAAACTCTTCCCAGGGGTGGGGAAGGGGTGGGGGGCGGGGGCACAGACTGTGCCCAGCACCAACTTCCCACAGCAGAGGCAGACGCTGCTGAGAAGCTCACTGAGGGTTGGACCAGTCAACTCAGTCCAAATAAAAACCCAAACTCTCCTAGCCTGCACCACACTCGGTGCTGGCGATGGGCACGCCGGAAGCAGTCCAAGCTCCATAAGGTCACCCTGCTCTCCCTGGGTGCCACGGCTGCTCTTGGGCATTACCGTGGGGACCTTTGGGAGATGCTGGGGAAGGGGGTCCCCAGAGCTGCCAGTCCCTGCAAGGGGGCGGGCGCAAGAGATGTGTGAAAGCTCAAGGTGGGTGTCAGGGAGGCCAACAGGGAGCCACTGACCGTACAGGGGCCGTGGCTGTGAGAGAGGACAGGGCAGGGCAGGAACTCACCTGGAAAACTCAGTGTCCCTCGTAGTCATGCTGACCTCAGCCCCCTCCCCTCCATGGGGACATGAACAACCCCAGCACCCAGACATAAGGAGAACCCCAGCCAGCCGCTCCCAATGGGGGTGTGCGGTGGGTGTTGACCGGAGGGAGGAGGAACTTAATCTGACTTGAAAAACTTCTCGCTGCATGGGTCACCAGCCTGGGTGCGACTGAGTACCTGCTTCCGGGGCGTGGGGATGGAGAGGCCCAAGGGAGGTTCCCGGGTTGCTGACCAGGAGGGGGCAGGGAGAGGTTGGGGGCAACGCCCTCCAATCACGAGAAAGCTCCGGAACTAGTCACACCGCATCGGGGAGCATGGTCTGCCTTCCCGTCGGGGGCTGCCAGCCGGGCTCCTGCCTGGCTCCGAGCACCTTGCAAGAGAGGGTCAGGCACGGTTAGCAGTGCTGGGTGACCATCTACACCCCAGAGGGCCACAGGCACATGCAGTCTTCTCTGGGCCTTGGACACGAGTGCGCAGAGCACTGCAAGGAGTGGAGAGCTCGGGGCAGACCCCACACCGGATCCTTAGGTGGGGAATTCACCCCACAGCAGGGCCTCTTGGGAACGAAGCCTGGAAGTGGAAAGCAAGAAGCTGCTGCAGGAAAACTGCCCCAGGGCTGGAGCGATAGCAAAGCGGGGAGGGCATTTGCCTTGCACGCAGCCAACCTGGATTCAGTTCCCAGCATCCCATATGGTCCCCTGAGCACCGCCAGACATGATTCCTGAGCGCAGAGCCAGGAGTAACCCCCAACAACCTCAGATTCCACTCCTTTCCGCTAGAAACAACTTGGCCCCTGGGCAGCATACACGATTCTGAGTTCTGATCAGGTTGTCGTTGGGTTTTTGTTTCGGCCATACCCAGCAATGCTCAGGGGTTACTCCCAGCTCTGTGCCCAGCAGGAGTCATACCTAGCAATGCCATATGGGATGTCAGGGATCAAACCCGGATCAGCCAGGTGCAAGGCAAACGCCCTCCTCACTGTGGCGTCCCTCCAGCCCGATCTCATTCTTCTTCTTTGCATCTTCCTTTTGAAGGATATCGGGGCGCAACTGATCGACACACACGTGACCATTCTGTATTTCTGATAATAATTTATTCACACTTTCCTCGTGTTATGATGGCTTCCGTCCGCTGATCTTGGCGAACGGGTTAAGATTGTGTTCTGTGAACACCCTTGCTTTGAGTTGGCTTCTAGCAAAGGATGCATGCCTATCTATTTGCTGATTTATACGCTGACGACAGGCTCGCCGTGGTGGTTCTGGCCCGTGAGGACGAGGAGCCTGCAGCGTCAGGCTGGGGTAGGCAGGGCCCGGGGGGCTCTGCCTGACCTCTGGGGGCTGCTCACCCCTACCCAGAAAGGCCTCCCAGCCCGGCTTCCAGGACAGCATGCAGCGCCCGCGGGGCGCGGGGAGGCGAAGACCTGTGCACAGCAAAGAGGAAGGGGCGTCCCAACACGCCCTCGCCCTGGAGAGGAAACACAAGGAGGGACTGCTAGAAACGTCTTTTCAGCAAAGGGGTCTCGGGGCAACGGTATGAAACCGTCTTAAATACAAACAGTCCCGTCCTCGGTAAAATCCTGAAAATTGGGGGCTGAAAATTCAGCATACAAAATGACACAGAAAATGCCCTTGGATGAATTGGTCTTCGAACTTTCTCCATGAGGTTTCAAAGGTCGACTTTTAGGCAGGTCACGGGCCAGGCGTCTTCCCTGCCCGAAGGATTGGCGCCCAATTCCACCCCCTTTGGACGTCACCTGAACCCGCAGGGCCCCGTTTCCAGGGATTCCCCCAGGGGTTCCCCGCGGGAAAGCTGGGAATGTGCAGCAGGAAGGGGCCGAGGCGGGCTCGTCCGCGGGGCCCTCGCCCCCGCCCCTCACGTCCTTTTCCTCCAGGGCGTCGCCCGCCTCTCCTTCTGCGCCTGGGCAGCCCGCTGCCTCTCGGCCTCCTCGGCCTTCCTCTTCTCCTCCTTGGCCTCCTTGTAGCGCCACTTGGGCAGCTGCAGGTGGGCGCTGTCCTTGGTGCTGCCCTTGGAGGGCGGCCGCTCGGGCTGGAAGGTGGGCGCGGGCGCCTTGCTCACGCGCACGCGGGGAATGACCACACCGGGCCGCACGCTGCCCCTCCGCAGCCGGTGCAGAGCCAGCAGGCTGGCCTTCCGTGGGGCGCCGGGCGGCCGCGGGGGGCTCCCCTCCCTGCAGACCTCCAAAGTCTGTGCCGGCCGCGGCGGCGGCGGCGGCTCCGCGCCCCGCCCCTGGCCCGGTTCCTCCTGCGCATCCCTGCGCGCCCGCGCCTGTAGGATCTCCTGCACCGCCAGGCGTCTCTTCCCCACGCACGGCGGGCTCTCGGGACACACGGTCTGGCAGGCCACGGCCACCGCGGGGCTGGAGTGGCCGGTGGTCATCCTGACCATGTGGTCCAGGACCCCGCCATCCTGCGGGTCGCGGACGCGGGGGCCGAGCGCGCTTTGCAGGAAGCGCGTGAACTTCTGCAAGCAGTTCTTGGAGCTGGCGGCGGGCTTGGCGGACCCGGGCAGGGCCTGGGGCAGCTCCGGCCGGTACTTGTCCCCAAACTGCTCCGGGCACGGCCGCTCCAGCAGCCTCTGGATGAGCCGCACCGCCTCCAGGCGCCCCGTGTAGGCAGCCCACTCCGGGGGCGACATCCCGCGCCGGGGGTCCCTCGCATGCACATCTGCCCCTGGAAAAGACAAGGCAAACGGCCGTGGGCGGATGGACGCGCCAGGAACTTTCCAGCAGAGGGGCAGAATAACCAACGTAGGTGGTACAGTGGGTGGGGAGGGCGCGTGCCTTGCGCGTGGGGCACCCTGGTTCAACCCCCTGCATCCCATATGGCCCTCCGAACTCTGACAGGGGTGATCTCAGACGCAGAGCTAGGAGTAAGCCCTGAGCACCACCGGGTGAGCACCCCCCACCCCAAATGAAAGCTGAAGGCAGTGACTGAGGCAAAAGCCCCCCCCCAAATACCAGAACCAAAGAGATGACATGAAGGGGACACCCGAGAAACAGCCCCTCTGCTACCTTGACTTACAATTCCAAGTTTATTATTTAGGAGGATGGGAAGGGTCTGCTCACCCCGAGTCGTGCCCGGGGTGCCCCGCTGGGGATGCGCTCAGGGACCCATGTGGGGTGGCAGGAATCAGGCCAGGCAGGCTGTGTGTAGGACGAGAGCTTTCCCTGTGGGACTTTCTCACTCCTTGGATCCTTGTTATTGGGGGAAGGGGAGATGTCGCTCAAGCAGTGCTCAGGGGTCTCTCCAGGATTCAACTGGTCAAACTGCTGCTGCTTCTGGGGACCCCAGGGCAGTCCTTGTCAGCGCAGAGGGTGATGCAGTGCAGGGGACTGAACTCAGCAGTAACACCCCAGCCCGACCTTTATGCATCCCATGTAAGGTTTCCCATTCCTGTCCCATGATCCCAAACCAGCAGGGGCTTCTTGGTGCTTCTGAGTCCACACCCGGCAGTGCTCAGCGCTCACTGGGGACTGATCCCGATTGGTCCTTACACAGTAGTGAGGGTCGAACCTAACCACTGCCCTGCCTGGCCCGATCCCAAGCACTCAGACAAACCTCGGTCTCAGCGTCCCACGAGGTCTGTGACAGTGCAGATGGCCTGCGGGCAGGAAGGACTCGTGGGAACTGGGCTGAACCCAATTCGGCTAAACACCCTTTGGGTTTTGAGGTGACACTCAGCAATGCTCAAAGATTATTCCCGGTTCTGCGCTCAGGGATCACATCTAGTGGTGCTCCGGGGACCATATGGGACACCGGGGATCGAACCCAGGTCAGCCAATGCAGTAGTGTAGAGCCCTCCCCGCTGTACCATCTCTCCAGCGCTCAGTGGAAATCCTGAGCTTCCTGTGGCTTCCTGGAGAAGGCAGTTGGCCTTGGGGGCCCGGAGGCCCTGGAACACTGGTACCACCTACCAGGTCACAGGCTGGCATCTCCTGCAGTACCCACTCAGGTAGCTTCCAACAACCTCTTGTCCAGCTCTCTGATGGGCTGCAACTCTAGAGGGACCCCGATCTTCCATCCTCGGGGGCTCCTGAACACGAGGCGTTTCCTCACTAAACCACCCCACACCCCCTCCTCCGATCATTGCGAAGCTCGGCTCAGCTTGGTGACGCGTGGGTCAAAGTGGGCTCCAGAGTATAGGGAGTGACCAGCACCTGCTGTTCAGCTCGTCCTGGCCCGGTTTCAACCACACGGATAGTTGGAAATTATTCAGGGGTTCAAGTCCCATTTGTCATATCTGCACTGGCAAAGCAAGTGGAGAACTAGGGCAATTACCTGGTGTGGGGGTCCCCCGGGGCCTGGGTCAGCAGCAGTGTCCCCAGACAGCCCCAGGAACCCAACCCGGGTGAACAGAAGGTCGACAAATTCACTGTGCCCCAATGCCAGGAAGACCTGCCCCCGCCCCCCGCAACACCTGAGCTCACCCACTCATGCTCTGAATCCTGTGGCACACTAAAGAAAAGTCGCACAAGGAGGCGTGGTAATTATTTGGACCTGGAAATCGGGATGAAACTCATTAGCTCGAGGACGATTTATAAACTGACGAAAATGAAAAGGAGGCAGTAAAAGTGTCGCGGCGAAAAATAGATGACACATTAAACCTTAATTAATTGCATGTCACTTAAAAGGGAACAAACTGCAAAATGAAAATCTTAATGAACGTGGCCCGAAAGAGACATTCTTCAAATGCTAATGGGAGGGCGAGAGCCGGCTGCCGAGCGTGGCGGCCCGCCGGCGTCTGGGGTTCTGGCGTCCCAGGGAAAACACAAACACCAGGGCCGCCGAGGCCACCACGGGTGCTGAGAAGCTCACTCGGGGTCACGGAAGGCAAGTCCTGAGGACCGACGCATGACATCTGCGCCTTGCAGGGGACACGCAGAAGCTCTGCAGGGCAGCTCTGGGCAGCCCCAGCTCCCCCTCCAGGCTGCCAGCTCAGCACCCCTCAAGCACAGAAGAGTTGAGCACCTGCCCAGGGGTCCATCCCGCCTCCTTGAGGCCGACACTTTGCTACGAAAACATCCTCTATTCCAGGACCTGGGGCCGGAGCGATAGCACAGTGGGAAGGGTGTTTGCCTTGCATGCGGCCGACCCAGGTTCAATCCCCAGCATCCCATAGGGTCCCCAGAGCACTGCCAGGAGTGATTCCTGACTGAAGAGCCAGGAGTGAGCCTTGAGCATCACCGGGCATGGCTCTCCAAAAGCCAAATAAATAAAAATAAAGCCACTGCTTCATTATTCCAGGGTCTGAGCACATGCTCTGTGTGCAGATGCAAGTACCACAACGGCCACAACTGGCAGCAGGCCTGTGTCCAGAGCCCCGAATGAGTGAACCCCAAACACAGCGGGGTTACTGAGGGGTGGCCCCCAAACCAAACCAAAATCCCCTCTTCCATTCAGGGTGGAAAGTTGGTCTGAAAGGGGGCCCTGACTTCCAGCGGCCCCAAACAGGTCTTGGCAGGTGACTGATTTCCCAGAAGCAGTCTGTGCAAGCGGGCATCTGTGAAGTCACATAGGACACAGTGAAGAGACAGGGTCACCCTCTGTGCCAAGCCAACGGTTGCTGGAGACGCCTGCGAGTGACAGGTTTCGGCCAGCGGCGGGCGTGGGCAGTGCCCTTGATGGACCCAGAGACTCAGTCAGCGACCTGAGAACCGTTTCAGCTCACTCGCACGGATCAGCTCTTCTCTTCGACCCACTTCCTCCTTCCTGCCCATTAAACAGCCCTCGCTGGGTTCCGGCTGGGGCATTGCTGGGTTTCCCCCCTGGTCTGTGTACCAGAAACTTCCATCTGAGCTCTGGCTCCCAGTAAACACGGACGCGTAGTCCTTTCTGTCCATTCCCTGATCCTGGGATCACCTGAGTATTTTTCAGAGGGTCTGGGCAGGGCTAACGTCAGCTGCCCAGCAGGGAGCCCAGTTCAGCGGGTGGCTACCAGTGCTCCCATCTTCCCTCCCCTCTCTCTACCTGCTCACCCCATTTCCCCAGGGTCACTTCTAGAAAACCGAACACACGCCCAGGCCTTATCCCAAGACCTCGCCTCTGTGGCACCCACGCTCACGCTCACGCCCTGTCCTCAGTGATCTGCGGTGCCCGGTTTAAAAGCTCTTTCTCTGCCAAAGAACTTGAAACAATTGCAACTTGCACTTGCTCAGTTAAGGGGAACGTGTTTCTTCCCGGGAACAGAGAGAAGGATCGGCGGCAACTCGTGCTGGGATTCCCAGGGTGAGAGGGAGCAGCGGCCACAGCGCCCCAGGCCTCGGCTGAGCTCCCTCCTGGGGCCCCGTCCAGCAGGCCATGGGACCCGTGTTCAAGCAGCAGAGATCTCTTCCCACTTCCGCTCACTCACACCCCTCTGAAGTACCAGGTTCCACGGCCCCCGTGTCCAGCAGAGCCCGTGTCCTTCCTAGAGAAGCAATCCAAAAAAGTCCATGTATTTTTCTTTTTAATAAAAATCGAGAGTTCTGATAGTCCTCCTGTTCTTTCATTCTGCGTCTGACAAGACTGAGGAGAGTTAACAGGATGGAGCCCACTTCGAGGGTGTCTAGCTCAAGCATTCACTGGTCCTATGGAACAGGAGGACACGGCGACTCAGAAACTCCTCTCCGACAGCGGGCGCTGTGGTCTGAGGCGGCCAGGGGCCCATTCCTAAGCACGCACTAGCGTGGGTTCCTTCTGCATGGAAAATGCGCCAGGGATGGTCATCGTTGTCATCGGTGGTTTTTCTTCAGCTGCTCTGTGGGGAAGGGTCCTCTGAGAGAAACTCGCGGGGGACAGAAGGTGACCCCTTGGCCTCGCCCATGTAAAGTCTGGGTTCAGTTCCCAGCACCACATGACCCCTGAGCACCAGCAGGATCACCCTCTGAGCACTGAATGGAGAGTAGCCCAAAAGCACTGAGTGGAGAGTAATCTCCAAGCACGGAGTAGAGAGTAGCGCCACAGCACGGAACCAAGAGTAAACCCTGAGCACAGCCAGGCGTGAAAACCAAAACAAAGTGGACAGGACAGGGATTAAGGCACTTGCCTTGCATGTGACTGTGCAGGGCACCACACCCGGTCCCCAAGGAGGCGGGTGGGGGAGGGGCCCGGGGGGTGGGGCCAGGCTGGCAGGGGTCCGGGAGGGGCAGGAGGGTGGGAGGCAGGCAGGTGGGCGGGGGAGGGGCGGGCAGGGATGGGGGCAGGCCGGCGAGAGGTCCCTTGCTCCGGCTGGTCCCGGCCCAGCCCAGCCCAGCCTACCTGCCAGCATGAGTGCGCGCACACACTCGGTGCGCCCGTGCATGGCGGCCTTCATCAGGGCCGAGAAACCCAACACATTCCTGCGCTCCAGGTCGAGGCCAGGGAAGTAGTTGAGCAGGTAGCTGGTGACGGTGGCATGCCCTGCGGAGAGAGTCGCGCCCTCAGATACGAACGTGGGGGCCACAGGGGGCACAGATAGGCGCCCCGGAGCCTGCCCCAACCTGAGCCCGTGTCCAGGTTCAGTCCCAGCACACACTCACACACACACACACACACCCAGGGTCCCAGCAGGTGGAACCCAAGCAGTGAGGGGCCCCAGGGGGTCCCGGACAGGCTTCAGGCCACCTGCCTTAGGAGTGGGCCTGAGGGCCCGAGAGAGCACAGCGGGCGGGGGGCTTGCCTCCCCGTTCCATCCCAGCACCCCACATCGTCCCGGAGTCGGCCAGGAAGGATCCATTCCCGGGCACAAAGCTGGACTGAGCCCCGACCCGGTGGGGGTGGCACAACGCGGAAGCAACACCTGAGCACCATCCCATGGGCGTGTGGCTGCGTCCTGGGACACAGAACCCCGGGGCAGAGTCAAGCCCAAGGCCCCGCGCAGAGAAGCGAATGTGCAGGGGACTGGCTGACCAGGCGGTGGCCAGAGCAATGCTGAGGCTGAGCCCCCGAGTCCCGCCGGGCCCCGTTTCCAGCCCTGCTGTGGGTGGTCCGCACGGTCTCCCTGGTGGGCTTTTGGGATGCAGGGGCAGAGATGCAGAGGGGCCTAGGAGTGCTCTCAGCTGGGCTGGACGATGCTCCAGGCCTCCCAGCTCACCGGGGCTTTCACCGCCCTGGACTTTCCTGCGCTGAAGTCATTCTTGGCACAGAGGGGACAGAAACCCCCAGGGAAACTCCCCGATTCTCCCGCCTCGCCCCCTCTCTGCAGTGCTTCCCCTCAAGGGCGCAGGGGGAGAGTCGTGGAAAACACCAGCTTTTCTCCCCTCCACCGTTGCCATTTATCCTGCTACTGTCTAGGAGAGGCTGGTCTGGTGCTGGGGGTTGACCCCTGGGCATCATGTGTGCCAAGTGCCCATCCTGGCCTCAAAGGGCTGCCCTGCCTCCTCTCACCCACCTCAGCCCACCCCACTTCTTCCGCCCTGGGCTACTCCCCTTCCCTCACCCACCCTCCTTTGCAAACGCATGCCCATCGGATGGCACCCTACCCCCAACTGCCCACCGTGCCCTGCGCCACATGACCTCCATCTGCCAGGTGGAAGGGTAGTCAGTGGGACACTTGAGGTCATCTGCCAGGGGCAAGGGAAGGCCCTCCGGGGCAGCCCCCCTCTCATGTGAGGCTCAGCTCCTACATCCCCGAGAAGAGCACGGCCAGGCTCGACTCGCACCAAGGCCCCGAAGATGAGACGGGTGGCCCGCGGCTGTTCCGGCAGAAGCACCTTCTGGTTCTGATGGGCCCCAGCTCGCCCGCAGGCAGGAGGAAAAGGCGGCTCTCAGCCGGCACAGCGAGCGACTTATCTTCACTGGTCTAAGGGCTTGGGGCTTTTTTTGTTTGGTTTTGGGGTGTGCTGGTGGTGGTGCTCGGGGATCACTCCTGGCAGTGCTCCGGGATGAGGCAGTGCTGGGGATCCAACCTGGGGTTGCGGCGTGCAAGGCATGAGCTACAGCCCATGGAACTTTCTCCTGGTCCTTTTCTCTCTCTCCCTGTTCCCAGCGATGCTCAAGAGAGACGCCTGGCAGGTGTAGCACAGGGATTTGAACTGGAGTTAATGGTGTGAGGCAAGTGGCCAATCTCTCTCTGTGTTCTCTCTCTCTCTCTCTCTCTCTCTCTCCCCCCCCCGCACACACACACACTCGGTGGGCTCAGGTCACATTAAACATGGCTCAGCGGAGTCGAGGCTATTCTCTCTCTCCAGTCACCAAAACATTCTCCTTCCACGAAGATCCTAAGCTCTCCCCCTCCCAGCTCCCTGCCCACCCCCCAGTTTCTCTCTCTAGTCCCCCCTTCCTCAGATGCTGGAATCCCCCCCCCCCGCCAGCTCAAGAGCTCTGGACGCAGAGAGATGGCCCACAGGGATGGCCATGCTCTACATGTGGAATCCCGGGTTCGAGCCCCGGCAGCCCAAGCTTCCCTGAGATCACCTCTGGGAGTGACCCCCGAGCACAGAACTAGAAGTATCCCCTAAGGCATGCCAGGGTGACCTAAAAAACAAACAGGACAAGAAGGAATGTCCGGTAAAAATGAAATTTTCTTAGACCCTTTGCTGTTTACGGACGCCAGTGGAGGCTTGTCGATGCGAGTTTGCGTCAGGAAGAGCAGTGCCGTGGCCCAGTGCTCGGGGAGATTCTGCGCTGATCGTGGCCGCGACTGCATCAGCAGAGGGAGGCCACAGGGCAAGGAGACCCACAGGGACCCTCAGGCCAGGCCCGTCCCCAGTCTGGGCGTGTCCGCAGGCCCTGACACACGCGCCTGGCACGGACAGGCACCAGATGAGCCCAGGTTCTCCTGGTCAAACAGCCTCTCTGGGCCAGGCGTGCCCGGGTGATCCCTGCATGCAGAGAAGGAGCAAGCCCCGGGCACCTCTGGGGTGACACAGCCACCTGCTACGAGCCCCTGTGAGGGTGTCAGGCTTTAGAGGAGTGTCAGGTCCCTCCAGGCCTGCTCACTGGCCACCTGCCCAGCTGCCCCAGGTGAGCAGAGCACCACCCACTCAGCCACCCTGCCCAGGTCCCCCAGGAGAGCAGAGTTCCACCCACTCAACCACCCTTCCCAGCTCCCCCCAGGAGAGCAGGGCGCCACCCACTTGGCCACCCTGCCCCGCTTCCCCAGGAGAGCACAGCGCCATCCTCTTAGACACCCTGCCTACCTCCCCTGGGGAGAGCTGAGAAGCACCCCCTCAGCAACCCTGCCCAGCTCCCCCAGGAGAGCAGAGCGCCACCCACTTGGCCACCCTGCCCAGGTTCCCCAGGAGAGTAGAGAGCCACCCACTCGGTGACCCTTGCAAAGGGCTGTTGGAGCCAAAGGCAGCTGAGAACAAGCAGCTCCCTTGGCCCGATGCGGAGTCTGAGTTGCCCCCAGCCCTCTTCCTTCCCTGGGACCCGGGAAAGTGGAAGGTCGCCGGCACCTAAGATGAGCTCTGGGCCTCCCGCCTGGTAGCCCAGCCAGCCCAGAGCCACCAGCTGGGCTCCCCAGGGCCGTGGCTGTCACAGGCTCCCGCCTCCTGCTCCAGGGGCCGGCCGGGCTCTCGGAGGCCTGTTTGCTCAGAGACTGTCTTCGCTGCTTCCCTCCCCAGGGCTCTAGCCCTCAGTTCCCTGCACACGGAGTTCCTCCCATTTCCTGCCGTTAGCTTGCCCCATCGAGCCCTGGTCTGGGACGCCCCAGGCAGTGCCTCTGCAGAAAAGCATCACAGGGGACGAGTGTGAGCACCTGAGTCAGCCCAGGGAAGGCAAAATTAAAAACCATCCGCGCTGGGCTGGTCCTTACCGTGTCCAGCCTGCAGGGGAGGAAGAGGACAGGCCAAAGCTTCCTCAGACACTGGGTCTGCAGAGATGGGGCCAGGCCACACAGAGACCGAGGGCTTGCTCCAGTGCCTGCCCGCGCTTAAGAAAGTAGCCTCTTGGGACTGGAGTAAGTCCTGAGCACCGTTGAGTATGACCCCCAAACCAAGCCAAAACAAAACAAACAAAATTAACAAACTGTCCGGGAAAATGAGCTAACAGGGCTGGAGCAATAGCACAGCAGGGAGGGCGTTTGCCTTGCACACGGCCGACCAGGGTTCGATCCCCAGCATCCCATGTGGTCCCCCGAGCACCACCAGGAGTAATTCCTGAGTGCAGAGCCAGGAGTAACCCCTGAGCATCGCCGGGTGTGACCCAAAAAGCCAAATATTAAAAAAAAGAAGAAGAAGAAAAGAAAGAGGAAGAAAGCAGGCACCTCCTTCCAGAAGCACACCTGGCTGTCCCTCCTCCTTGAAGCTCCTCCTGGTGACCGTGCAGGTCGGGGGCACCCCAGCTGCTGCCTGGGGCCCCGGAAGCTTTGTCAGCATGTCTCAGCAGCCTCTCAAGGAACCGCATCTCCGTCCGTCATGATGACCCATCAAGTAACCCTTCTGGGTGACACACTCACCACCAATTTCCAGGGCTCTGACAAGACCCCTATGGTTTTCAACTCTGGAGGGGGGATGGGAGGTGGGTGTTGTCTTGGGCCACTGGCTCACATTGTTGTTCATATTCCACACGCTAGTAACTGTTTCACTTCCTGACTGGCTCCACTGAGCACAGTCACCACCTTGGGTCTGATACGTGTTGTCCCCACAGGCGAGTTCACTGTTTCCCATAGCAGGGCAGGAGCCCCCGAGGAGAGACCACATGTAGGCTCTTGAGTTAATGCTGCAGTGAGCCAGGAGTGCAAACACCCTTCAACACCCCGGGGAACGCGCCCTGGGCCCTGCTTTCCTGCCCAGGGGCCTTTGCACATGCTCATTCTAGCACCTTCTGCTTCTCCTCTGCACCCAGTTGCTTGAAGGGTCAGACTGTTCAGTGCAAGCTGTTCCCTGGCTGTGGCACCCAACGGGCACCTATGCCATGTTGTGCAAGGTCCATGTGTGGAGGGACACACATGGCCCCCAGCACCCTCAGGAACCTGCTCCTACATGCAGGGCTTCCAGCGTGCAGCCTGGTGGGTGGGAGGGATGAGGAATCCTCCCTCCTCCCTCTGAAACAACCCTCTCAGCTGCCAGGCAATCCTCAAGATCTCAGACCAGAAAGAAAAACGACTTTGACTTTCTGTGGGGCCACACCTGGCTATGCTCAGTGCTCACTCCTGGCTCTGCACTCAGGGGTCACTCCTGGCAGGGCTCAGGGGGCCATATGGGGTGGCGGGAATCAAACCTGGATCGGCTGCATGCAAGGGGAGTAGCCTGCCGGCACCCAAAGAAAAAAATCAATTTATTCATTAAAACATTTTTTCTTCTTTTTTGGGGGGGGGGGAGAGGGGAGGTGGGTTGGTTTGGGGGCCACACTTGGCTGTGCTCGCCCTGGTCACTTCCCGCTGCCTGGGGGACCATCTGGGGAACTAGGAATCGAACTTGGGTTGGTCACATGCAAGGCAAAGACACCCTCCCTGCTGTACTGCCTCTCCAGCTCCA